AAGTATAAAAATGTATAAAATCATTGATAAGAAATCTTATTTGAAATTCATTCTAATCCAGCGGCAGCGGTTAGGGAAACGAACGCGCATTTACAATCTTTTTTTATTTTATATTTACAATCTTCAACCTGTCTGGTAGGCGTGGCTATAGTTTGGAGTTCTTCTACGGAAGCACTGTCATCATACCTATTTCTGCTGTCAAGCGGTAATATGATAATTACTGCGTTCCAATTTTAAAGGGTAACAGTGCTCGTGAAACTACAGGCATATGGGACTAATTACCTTTTATATGTCAGGGTGAAAGGCGCAGTGGCAGTACCTCTCAAATCTTAGCGATTTAAAGCTCTGCTTGGCATTCTAAGTGTCGCAGGTAGACGTGTCGCTTACCATCTGGCGCACGACGCCTTATAACTTGAAATCATTAAGAAAAAATCTTATCACGGTATTCCTTTTTATTTGTCTGCCAATATTTCAGAACACGAAATCCTCCACAAAATGGAGGTACTCTACTTATCGTCGACTGTGAAAGACAATAGAAAGATATCCTTGAAACTGTCAACTGCCACTTGCCAGGCAATTGGAGTCGTAAGTTCTAACTAGAGATTTGCCGATTTGTTGCTATTAGTATCTGTTGTATATCGATACCTTACTTTCTCAAACTCATATCTTAAAAAGAGCGATTATTCAGGAGATAGCTAAAATTTCTATTAGTTTATATTTCTTATCAAGGGTGTTAATTTGGATGCATTGCTTTAAGAATAGCTAAAAGCTAGTGTATGAATATGAAGGAAATGTTATGTAAAATCAGTGTGCAAAATTTGTATATACAATCCATTTTTTGCATTTCAGTAACTTTGTGCTTTAAAATACGAGTTTGAGAAAGTAAGGCGACGATATTAAAAAAAACATATTACTGTAACATACTCCATACTCACGGTCTTTAATCGTCATTATTCTGTAACGTCGTCTGATTTACATACAAATCGATTTTACGACCGTAATGTTGAATGAAACACAATATGAAATGCATACGTAAGAACTGGATCACTAGGTTTTGGGTTAATTGTCGTATGGACTATTGTAATGGTATGATATTGCCGTCATTATGAGTACAATAAGTGGTGTCGTTATGATAAGAAGAGTTCCATTTGAGGTTTATATGGTGTCATTAAATCTGGAGAATTTTTTCTTCTTTACGCTTTTGTGTAGACTTCTATATTCGCGCTTCGCATTTATGATGAGTCCATATCATTGTTTATGGTACTCTATATTATATGATATGATATTCTTATGATGATATTCTTGAATCTTAGTATTCGCAGACAAATATGCATATGCTTTGATTTGTGCGGTAACAGCATGATTAAAAATTATAATTCTTTCTGGTTTATTGTTATTTGGTTAACTGGGAGATTCTTTGCAAAAGCAATTCTTTTGTAAACAAAACCTAGGTTCTCGTCGGTATAGTCTTTTATCCTTTACAAAGCTTCGTCATTAACCTTGTGGCTTCCATATTTGGTCGATATATCGACTATGAAGAAAGAGAATGTGAAAATAGCATCTGGTTTGACTGACAGCAGAGGCTGTGGGTTCGAATTCAGTCTCGCATCTCTGAGTGTTTTGGAAATTGTGTGCGAAATTTAATTTTATATTTACCATGAGGTTTTCGGTGAAGGAAAATATCGTGATGTAAACTGCACGTTTAAGGTTCACAACCCTCGGAAAACGCGTGAAGTCACCAACCAGCAGTGGGACGCTATTTAAAGTTTCAATCATCATTATGACGATTGATTAAAATTTCAAATAAAATATTTTCAATAAAAGTATTATTTGCTGCTTAAAGTGCACTGTCTAAATATGGTATCTCTATGCTGTCCTACTTTAACAGATCAAGTCGTAATAGCACCCGACAGATGGACACTGATGTCATTATTTACGATGCCTCTTTAGGATCCCTGCTCAATGGATATTTATGTACTAACACTTGTACTAATTGTCCTATAATTGTCCTTTATTCATTCGGTTTGCATATATGTATATCAGCTTATTGTTTGTATCGAATTTATATTGGAAGAAGGCCATGTTGTTATTGAATAGACCTAGTTTCTGTATAATTTCAATCAATTGGTTATAATTTTGAGTTAAGTTGGACCTGATGAAAAACTAAGCTGCCTAATTCATACTATTCATAAACGTCCCAATCCAGGCGCTAGTGACTTTTGTTATGCTGACAATACATCTATAAGTGCTAGTGAAAAGCGTTTTTTGAAACTTACATCCAAAGAAGTCTCGTTGCTTGAAATTACCAATTCATTTTTTAATTATAGTGTAGGAGTAAAGTAGAACACTATCGTATTCCATTAGATTAAAATACATTTTAAACTGGCTTTAATTAAATCACAATAAATATGGAATAAAATGTCGCTATTGGACATGTGTACTTAAAAAGTAAAGACTCAGCAATTTCAATGTTTTCAAAACATCTGAACAGGTTTTGCTTTGATCTCTTTATTTATCGATAGTGACGAAAGAAATCCTTGGTGGCAAACATTCGGCTATTTTTATATTCCTGTCAATTAAGGTGGAGTCTGGGCGGGGTATAAGTCCTGTTTTTCAATTTGGCAACAAATCCTTGATGACAAGTTGACAAATATCATGGCATTTTGATTAAGATGGACTTAGAACACATGGATTATTTCCTATATTTCAGTTTGTTGAACGTACATATAATATATCAATTGCTCGTCCAAACTTGCTGATTCACTGTATGACCACCATTACTACACTTGCTATTGGAAATTGTCGATTTATAAAACGGAAAGTGTTTGGTATTCGCCCACCAACCGTTGCGAAACAGATTCACTTTCTTTTAATACTATATGTACTCGTAATGCGCGAGTTGCAACTCTATTTGAAGTTCTTTTGATTGTTACTGTTACTTTATTGCCTTTAGCTTTCCTTTTCAAATGTATTCTTTAAATTCATTAAGCACCTTGTAAGCGAAATGTGAAATGATTTAGAACTCAAATGTATGTACAGCCGCACATGCTGTATCTATAAGGCCCAGTGAAAATTAGCGTGACGATCTGATCGCGGCCGTTGCTCTAGCTGAGATTTTCACCACAAAACATTTGGCAAGAAGACTATTTAGTTCTGTGTTTATTTATATAGTTCTTTTTACTTTCTTAAGTTCTTTTCTGTGTTATAAGTTTGTAATCATTGTATTTGGTTCTACGGTATACAATAATGTTTGACATTTATTTTTTACTTATACACGTACCAGCACCCCGTCTTTCATTCCTACCTTCCCCAGCAGAGACTGGATCACCACTTACTACACGTTCCTGGTATATATTTTTTCCTTGGTCGACTTGCGCCAGTATTTTTGTACACGTTTGTTTGATCTTGGTATTTTTAATCTCTGATCTTTTTAAGGATATCCTGCTCTTGTGGTTAGTATAGTTAACATCTACTTCTTTTAAACAACTGATTTTCACAACGTGTCAAAAACGCAGGAAAATTAGTAAAACGGTTTTAAAAGGTGGCAAACGCTGTTCTCTATTAATTAAAACTTGAGAGTTGTTTATGGTCTTTTTATTATCCTGCTAAAGCTACTATGTTGCTTAAACGAAGTGAAAGGTAATAAGAATAAATGTTAAGTGAAACTTGATATTTTTATAATCTCTTATACATCATCATCAACCTATATAAGTTCTACGACGTAACACAGGTCTTCTATAAGGAGAAAGTTTATGTCATAGTCTAAAACTTTGGCCTCTTGCGAGTTGAGAGCTTCACACATCTTCGAAGAGTTTTGTGAACCGTCTCCAGTCTGAAAGTTTCACATCACGATATTTTTCTTCACCGTTACAGCCAGTGATCATTGACTTACTTGCATCATTTCGTTAGAGCATTGGGTGGATCACTAAAATAAGAGTCAAGTATTCTACTAACTCGTTGCCCCTTCTAATCTCTCCTCATTCCAAACTAAACGTTTTGTAACAGTAGAGTTCCTTGTGAAAGAGTTCCTACAGAGAATTACTGCCACCTTACTTATTTCTGCCGTCAAGCAGTTATGTTAGCATTACTATGTTCCGGTTTTAAAGAATATAATTACTGGTAAAATTACAGGCGTATGGGACTTGTCAACTTACGGCTCAGGGTCATGGGTGCAGTGCTAGTGCCCCTCAGATCTTTGTGATTTAAAAGCTGCTTTGACCACCATACACAAGACTTCATCCCGTCACTTAATATCATAAACAAACCTAGCGTCTTTGTGACTCACCAATAGTAATAATACGTACGATTTGCAACAAAAAAAAAATGTTACTCTCATGTTATGCTGTACTTTCGTAATTAGATCCACTGCTTCAGTTCTACGAATAGAAAATAGAAATTAAATTGAAATTGTTCACAATACATTAATATGTAACCTTATTTATCAATGACCCATTCGACAGCAACTATCAGTTTGAAGTTTTGTGTGAAGCTGTTGATATTGCTGCGTTGTGTGCTTTCTAGCGTGACTTGTGGTTCGATAGCTTATCTTTGGTAAAATGTATCCGTTATTAAAAGGATTTCTAGATTAGGAGTTTGTTTAGTATTTTCCACGCTGATGGTGTGTATTGGCTGCCTTGCGACAGTTGTAAACGATGCCGTATATACGTAGCTAAGATTAAAATTTTGTCCTAGTTCGTAAGGACACCGATAATGTTTTGGTTTTTCAAACAATTTTAGTTTCAATTCACCAAACCTACAAATAATTCTAATATTAGGGCTGATGATGTACTTTTGTCATAAATTTCAAATTTGATAAAAAATTGTGGTTAGATTTTGATACCTTTAAGTATTTACAGTTTCATATTGCTCTAGAGAGTGTTATTAACCCTTATGAAGGCAGACTTTTATCCTTAGCTAGCATAGTTTTATTATCAATTATAACCAAATTATTATGATTCAAAAAACAACTTTATAACGCAAACCTCTCTCAATTGTTTCAGATTATGTTCAAAGGTGGCGTCGTTGGCGGCCTGGACGCCCGTCGCGACGCTGCCCTCGCCAGAGTCCTCGTCAGACTCCAAGCCAGAGCTCGTGGCCTTCTCGCCCGCCGAAGAGCCCAAAGACTCCGCACGCAGCACACTGCGGCTCGGTGCATACAGAGAAATGTCAGAGCCTTCCTCACGGTTCGTGACTGGCCATGGTGGAGGCTCTTGGTGCGCGTCACACCGTTGCTTGCAGTCCACCGCACTGAGCATCGGCTTAAACAGGCGCAGGTAAGTTTCTTTATTTATAATTCGATACTTCGACAGTTTTTTGTTTATTAACACTAATTTAGTAATTTAATTGGGAAAACCGTGGCAGACCAATGGTTTGACAGCGGTGTGATTTCGGATCCCGCCTCGCACCACTGAATTTCTCGGAACTTACGTGCGAAATTTACCTTGAGCATTTCGATGAAGGAAAACATTGTGATGAAGGATCGCTACCTTCGGAAATGATGTGAAGTGTTAACTCGCATGGGCGTGGCGGACATAGAACTTTCGCCTGAGAGAAGACCCGTGCCCAGCAGTGGGACTTGTAAATGTGTTGATGGTGATAGTTCGAAATAGTATTCATAAAAAACCATTCTTCACCTTATGAATCTAAAACACCCTGTTTATCTGCTATATTAACTACATGAATTTACTTCTATATGGAATAGTTTCACGAGTACATATTATAATATAATATATATAAGGAGCCTTTAGTCTTACAACGCACACAGCAGTGGCCACACAATATGTCAATCACAGATGTCGCAACGCAGCGCATGTCGCAGGTTATCAAACGCCGGACTCAAGCTACAATAGTGCTTCCTGCTTCTATAACCATTCACAGGTCAATGATCTTAGAATAATATTGTTGTTAAGAATACTCAAGGATAATTTGTTCTCGCTTGTGAACTGATCTTTTAAAGAGTTCACATAAGAAATTTTAAAATTCTTGTGCAAACAACACGAACTTATGATATCTTCTTTACATACTCTCATTGCATCAATGACAAGATTATGTAGGTAATTAAAAAATTGTGTATTTTCCTTGATATTTTTTAAATGTAGAAATAACCTAATTAATTGACGTCCTTGAATTTGTATAATTTGTTTGATTTCACCATCCAGGAAGATTTGACGTAAATTTGTGCTATTGTGGAAAGCGAACAATGCGAACACCATTCTATCCACTGATTGGGTAACTGTAGATGTGAGTTAAACTTATTTATCCGTCTCTAGACGTAGTCGATATGAGCTTTTACGACTGTAGTATAGATTTTTATGGAGCGAGATTACAGGTTATTTTTAATTAATTCGAAACTTCTGAACACAATAACAATAAACCATTATTTTATTTTTTTCACCGTTTATAAAACTATGAATTATCGAATCAGGTTTTGTGTTGTAGAAGGTTCAACCTTAAACTCCACATGCGTTTGGTGCGGTGTTATGTCTTCAGTATCTTGCTTTTTGGTAAGGAGTGTTGGACTTTGACTCCAGCTCAAAACTGTAGTCCTTTGAGATGTAGCTGTACTGTACTATGACCATATCGTGAGTACAAAAGCTCACCAATGTTGAGGTTCTTCGTCGAATGGAAAAAAAGTTTGAAATAGAACTGTAAAGGAAAGATTCTTCAACTAATAATGCAAGAGAAAATCCATGGAAAGCGTAGTCGTGGGAGAAAGAATATTTTGTGATCGAAGAGTCTGAGAGACTGATTTCACCTTAGCACACGTTCCCTCTTTCGTACAGCAGCCTCAAAAATGAGAATAGTCATGATGGTCGCCATCGGTGAGAAGCGGCACACTAAGCAGACGAAGTGTTGTGGTATTGCCCCGGAGTGAGTTCAATTCCCTTTAGACCAGAGTCAAAGTCAAAGCAAATTACACTTGAAATCGTCGTACTGATTAAATTCTACTGCTCATTCGTAAGGCTGATTCCCTTTGAGAAGAATGAGCAAGAAACTCTAGGGGTTGCTCTTTGTGAATACACATTTGAGTACATTTATCATTACAATATTTAAATTAAACATCTTAGATTGAGAATACCCGAAAGAGCTAAACGGGTCACTACCACGGATTTTTGTCATCCAAGTACGCAGGTGTTGTGTACCTTTAGTATAAAATTTTTACTTCAGTATGGTTTTAAACCTCGCAAATGGCATATTTGAATATCAATGGGAATCTTATTATAGAAGCGTATACATTGCCTCTTAAATGAATTTGAGACTTTATGAAGACGTCTTGTCGAGAAGAGCTAGTTTATTTTTATTCCTCATATTAATGTTATATCTATCACTATTTTTCATAAAAAAATTAATATTTTTCTTAACACTAATAAAATTTTCATAAATGTACTGTGAAGTGTAAGAATGTTAATCTCTTTAAACTTATCGCTTAAAGACACTCTGGGGCCCAAATTGTAAATTGCCCTAACCGCACGTTTCTGCAGTTCAAAAATTCTACCAAGTAATTGGTGTAGCTGGTTGGCACATGGGACTTTTCAATTAAGGCTCCAGAGTCCACCATACTTAACAAGAGATTACGCTTGAGCCGGTCAGAAAAAGTTTTAATGCAGTAAAAACGAAAAAGACGTTGTTTTACTTCCGCTCTGACCGTCAACGTGAAACGCTCGTCTTTTTCGCACTCGTACATAAAGCTTTTTCAGATCCGCTTAATGCGATTCCCTGTAGATAGGTGTGGCGACTCCCTTATCTGTATAATAAATTGTAACAGAATTCCACTATATGTGTTTACAACCCAACAGCGTTAGAGGAAGATTGTTAAAATATAAGCCTTCTTTATACTAAGACTATCTATTGTAGATGGAGGATAATGCTTGTTCAACGTTTGATGCCCTTGCTGATAGGGGAATAATGTTGCAAAACGTTATAATCTCTATTACGTCTCTATTCAACTTCATTCTACCTACTATAAATCGCTGCTTTTCAAGAGTAGTGGCCCAATCCAAAATAGTTCCTTTTCTTTATTTATTACTGAGATTGTTCAGAAAATTCTAAATTTTATTATGAATGGCACAACCAAGCTGTTCATTGGTTGAAATAATCGCATGAAAACGTTGAGATGGTCTATGTACATAGTACTTAACTGGTACATTGATCTCACTTTGCCATCGTCAACACACACATTTACATTACATTACGAGATTTTGTCTATCGTACACTGGTACAATTTTAGAGGTTGTGGAAAATTGTAATATTTAAATTATGCTACGATTATTTTAAATTTTATGATTCCTAGAAGATAAATGACAATCCGTTTCATATGTTTACATACGTAGGTAATCAATATAACTATTAATTAAGTGTTTTTTTGATATAACACGCGATTTTCCGTGTAAAAGCGTTAACCACTGGAACGTTTACCTTATGTCCATTTTGCGCGGCAGACACGTCTCAGTTTTTGTAAACCATGTTCCTAATGAATTAGGTGCTTGTGAGATAGGCCACTATTCTAAAAAGTTATCGAAATGTTCTATAGTGATTTGATGACCTCGGCGACTCAGTGTTTTGCAATATTGCAGGCTTCGATTTCAACCCCGAAAGGAAATAAACTTTTCATAATTGGTCTTTGTATTTTGGGCTTTGTCACAGATTGTGTTTTTTATGATACCAAGTGTTATGATAACAAGTCGTGCGCCTGGTGGTAAGCGACACGCCTGTCCATAGAAGTTGCAAGACCACTCAAGACGCTGAATACCGTCAATTACGCTTCACTTTAAAGCATTTTTAGCAAGATCTGTTCAACTTGTGGCAGTCAAAAAAATGTGTATTATTCTTCATAACATTTGTTGTTTCCAAAACACGATTTTACAATATTTTCTAGATTAAAAAAATTCAAACTTTCCTCTTACTCTACGCTTTCAACGCAAATATATCCGTAATGTACCAAGTAAAATTGATAAAATTTTGAAGAATAAAGTATTATCCAATAATGACAGCCGTGGTTGATTTATTTTTTCCGTTTTGAATCTAATTTTGGAAATAAACCCTTTTTGAGACGCCCGCAAACTGTTGGTAGTTTTTTCTCTTTTACTCATACGAAGGTCGGCAGTGATAGCTGAGACGCGTTGTTGGATGGACCTATGTCGTATAATTCATTTCATAATTGTAATATAGTAGGTGTGGCTTAAAACATCGATCGCTCAATGTCATCGACGCTTTTCAGCGTCTGAAGTCGCAAAGATCTGAGGGGCACTCTCACTGCGCCCGTCACCCTGAGACATACATAAATTGACAAGTCCCATGTGCCTGTAATTTCACCAACACCCTTACCCTTCAAAACTGGAACGCAGAATGTGAGCATTACTGCTTCCAGTGGCATTACTTCCCTGGACGAACTCTTTTACAAGAACTCTACTGCTATTAAAATTTATACTAAATTTCGTTGCTTCGGTACTCTTAGTACAGGCGTCTTTAATTCGACATCACTGACACCTCTAGCAACCATCTCCCATAATATTGATGTACACACAAAAATCAAATTATTTTCGAGATATTATTCTAATAATACTCAGAAACGCATGTAAGCAAAAGAAAGTGCATCGTTACTAACAAATACTCACAACGAGCTATGACAAAGATGTAATCATTATCACTTTCATTTTTCTCCGACACTGGCACACGCGCAATCTACATAATGTAACATTAATTACATGCAAAGGTATTATTAAAATGTTATTAGCATTTATTAACACACCTTCCGTATTATGTTGTATTACCATTATTGGCAACACTAAGGATGGATAGAACTTTGCGGGTTGTATTTTTGTATTATGGGCAACACTGTATTCTAATTCTACCATTTGGTTTCATAATAACAATAATGCTTGTCAAACCATACCAGTGCCCAGGTCAAACTCAAACTCAAACTCAAAATAATCTTTATTTCATAGGTAAGCATTATTACACTTGAAATCGTCACAATGGTTAAACTCTACCGCTCATTCGTAAGGCAGATTCCCCTGAGAAGAATGAGCAAGAAACTCTAGGGGTTGCTCTTTGTAAATAGCATTTACAATATTTTTTTCTTTTTATTTGAAACATCAGAGATCGAGACTACCTCCATGAGCTAAACGGGTTACTACCACGGATTTTTGTCATCCAAGTACGCAGAAGTTGTATAATAACCTTTAGTATAAAGTTTTTGTTTCACTATAGTTTTAAACCTCGTGAAAGGCAAATTTTGTATATCAACCGGAATCTTGTTATAGAAGCGTATACA